GGGTGACCGGAATTGGCACCCCAGGGCCAGGCAGGGAGAGCCATTAACCCCCAGGGCGTCATCACAGTCACATCCAGATGGTTTAATCCCGCCTCTGCTCCAACCTCCCTGGCACCAGCGACAGCTGGAAGCACGATGAAGGTGCCCGCGGGACTTGGGGTCACTGCGGTGTGACGCTGGTTCAACACCACCGAGAGGCAGGGGCGGAGGCGGATCGTCCCCACGTCCTCCGCTCCCACAACACTTGCGAGGATCAGGCGGAGCTGCGTTGGGAGACTGTCGGCTCAAAGCCACTTTGGCTGGTTTTGGGTCAGAGATGCAGACATCCTGCCCGCAGTGCCAACCGGCAGGTTCGGCTGGGCTGTGCTAGAGGAAGAGGAAGGACCTTCTCCACTTGGTCTGCCACCAGCAGCCAGACAAAACGCTGGCCCCGAGCAAAGGTGCCGGCTCCCTCTTCCCCTCTGCTGGGGCAGCGGGGGTGGAGGGTGATTAGGAAGTCATTTGCTAAGTGGCTCTGCACGCATGTTAATTTGTGCCAGTAAATGTCAGGGTATTCCAGAGAACTGGGCTTTGGGCTCTGCATCCTGCTTCAGAGCGTTAATGACGCCCCAAAAGATCTCTTGGATTAGACTCCCCGCGCTCAGGCTTTCTCCCTCCTTTTCCCTAGAGCTTTGTCAAAAAAATAATACACATAAGAAAAATCCCAAACAAAAATACAGAATCCAAGAGGTGTAGACTCTTTGGGGCCTTTAACTGCTTTTAAAATGCTAAATGAATGCCCTCAAAGCAGAGCCAGACTCAGAGTCTCCACACAGACTACTACCTGGCCAGGAATGCACAGCATCTCCTGCTGCATCAGCTTTGGAAAAGAAAGACATACATCACCCTGACAGAAAACACAGGGATAGAGATTCCTACCAGGCCACAGCCAGGAAGGAATCATAGAATGGTTTGGGCTGGAAGGAACCTCAAAGCCCCCCAGTGCCATCCCCTGCCACGGGCAGGGACACCTTCCATAGCCCAGGTTGCTCCAAGCCTCATCCAGCCCGGCCTTGGACACTCCCAGGGATGGGGCATCCACAGCTTCTCTGGGCAACCTGTCCCAGTGCTCCCCACCCTCTGCGGGAAGAATTCCTTCCTGATGGCCCATCTCAGTCTCCCTCTTTCCATTCAACCCTGCTACCCCTTCTCCTGTCACTCCCTGCCCTTGGGAAAAGTCCCTCCCAGGCACTGGAGCCCCCCAGGCTACAAGAGGGGCTCGAAGGTCTCCCCGGAGCTTCCCTTCTCCAGGCTGAACCCCCCAACTCTCCCAGCCTGTCCCCATGGCAGAGGTGCTCCAGCCCTCGGAGCATCTCCGTGGCCTCCTCTGGACTCGCTCCAACTGTTGCGAGCAGTCCTTCTGCTGTTGGGGACCCCGGAGCTGGAGCAGAACTGCAGGGGTGGGGCGTCTCCTCAGAGCAGGAGAATCCCCTCCCTCAATGGATACAGGAAGCACGTGGGATGCCAGTTCCCCTCTGGTCTGCCCGGATTCAGACGAAGCCATCGCTGTCTGGTCCCCGCCCAGCCCGGATCCTGCGCTCGATGACAGGATTACGACCACCCATCGCCCCGGCGCTCCCCTCCCAGAGGCAGGTGCGTTCTGCACCTTTAGGAGCCGCAACGAGATGAACATTTTCCATCTTAGTAGCTTTTCTCAGTCGCCTGTAGCTTCTGTGTTCAAAGAATTCATGCTATTTTGGGTGAAACAGCCAGGCTTTGGGTCTCTGCCGGGTGTGTGAGGTGCACGTCCACCTCTGCTTTTAAGCTACTAAGAGCCTGTGATACAGCCCTGGCAGCGCCGATTAATTCCCGACTGGCTGGGCTGATTCCGGCAGCATCCTCAGGAGAAGGGCTGGGACAAACAGCCAGAAGAGACACTCTGAGGGATTTACTTCTGGCTGAGTATTTAAGTCCCAGGAGGAAGGACACTCTAATCACCTAGGGAAGTTTGGCAGCTCCTCACCTTGCTTACGGCATACTTCCTCAAATCCCATAAGCAAACACCGCAGAAAACCAGGACTCGCCACACCTACGACATTCCTGATCCTCGGCCCAAAGTACAACCGGCCAGAGGAGAACAAATCCCATTTTATCGGGGCCACAGTGTGTCACCCACCGGGTCCTTAGGGGGGTCGGACTGGACCCCTACCTGACAGCCTCTGACATGGGATAATAATCCAAAGGAAGGCGCTTGGGGAAAATCTTCAGCCAGGGGGGTGGGGAGGGAACCTGAATTTCTTTGATTATTGCCAAGGCTGCAAACAATCCATCGCCTCCTCCCCGCTCTTGGCAGATTGGAGCCGCCACTCGCACGGACCCTTTAATTAACGGGAAAGAACCAATGATAAATGGGTGCTGTAAATGAAGGGAGAAGAAACAATAATAAAAAAATGGAAAACAGCCCGTGAGGGGAGTAGAGAGGCCCCCCCACCCCCCACCAGGGTGGGCCGGCACAGGGATGGCCGCAGGAGGGAAGCGCTGCAGGGAGGGCTCCGTGCACTCTGATCCCGGAGCAGGGTGTTAATTAAAGTGAGAGGTGCCAGGCGGAGGAGGGCGATCCGACGGAGCGGTGGCTGTCACGCTGATACTTGAGGGCAGCCAAGTGTCCCTCCTCACAGCTGGACAAGTTTAGCCCAGCTAATCCTTCCTGGCTGGAGCATCGAGGCAACAAAGGGGGAGGCCTGCGTGCTTCGGCCTGTCCTCCGCCACGGCGAGGGGAGGGCTGTGCCACCACTGCCCTAATCGATCAGCGAGGGGATGGGGCAACTCAGGCCCCCTCCCAAAAGAGAAAGGGATGTGTTTTAAACAGTCCCTCCGGGAGGAATCGGGGTACCCTGACTCCTCTCCACACACCAGCAGATGCAGGTGGGGAACACGGTGTGAGACAAGACGGATCCGCACGCCGGGGGCAGATATCCGCTGGAGAAATACAAGAGCAGACGGTGTGAGAACCCTCTGTCTGCGTGCTGGGGCTGAAACACGTGCTGCAGCCCGGCTTGGCTTCGAGGGCAACAAGTGCCAAAACACCCTCAGACGCAAACGTGGCCAGCTACAGTACCCCAGGTTTGGCCAGACAACGGGTACGAAGTATGGAGGAGCCCCATGGTGTAGGCTTGATTCGGAGCAGAACCGCTTCCACACCAGGCTGGGCACTCCCCGACATCGCTCTGGTGCTGACGCTGAGGTGGCGACTCCTCACCCGTGACCAGACGTGGGACGGTTATGGCAGCCGTGTGGGGCTGGCTGCGCTGAGCAGCCCGGACCCGCGGGCTCCTCCCCGGGGGATGAAGAGCTCGCTCCTCCATGCGACTGTCAGAGCTCGCAAGAGTCTTGCAAGATGCCATATCAGCCAGGCAGGGGTTAACCCCCCCTTCAGAGGGGCAAAGGCATGGAGTAATTCCCCCCCAAGGACTGGTAGAAAATCACGGACTGGCTTCCTGTCCTCGCTGTCTGGATACAGGGCAGGTGGCAGCAGCAGATGAGATCAGAGCCTGGCAGACTGGCAGATCCAATTACTCCCTAAGAAAAGGAACGTGCTCCAAAGAGCAGATCTGACAAGAGCAGGAGGACCAGCCACCTCTAATTAACGTGGCCATGAGCAGCACAGCGTGCCCCAGCCTGCCATCGCAGGGAGACGGCGACAGCGCCTGTCACCAGCTCAGTCTCCAGGAAGCCGGACTGCCCACCCCCTCACCCCCCTTTGCCAGAAGGGATTCACAGGCTGGGAGAGTTGGGGGGTTCAGCCTGGAGAAGGGAAGCTCCAGAGAGACCTCAGGGCCCTTTCCAGTGCCTGGGGGGCTACAAGAGAGCTGGGGGGGCTTTTCCCAAGGGCAGGGAGTGACAGGACAAGGGGTGACGGGTTTGAACGGAAAGAGGGAGATGGAGATGGGACATTGGGAAGGAATTCTTCCCGCAGAGGGTGGGGAGCACTGGGACAGGTTGCCCAGAGAAGCTGTGGATGCCCCATCCCTGGGAGTGTCCAAGGCCAGGCTGGATGAGGCTTGGAGCACCCTGGGCTATGGAAGGTGTCCCTGCCTGTGGCAGGGGGAGTTTGGGTGGGCTTTAAGGTCCCTTCCAGCTCAAACCGTTGCGTGATTCTATGAACTGAAGGGAACATGCTGGGCAGGTTTATCCTGGACCTTCACAGTGGGATTGCCAGTGAGTGGAGGTGGAAATCTATAACATGCCAGACTCACTCCATCTTTGCTTCCAGAGTGTGGAAGCACCTACCTCACGAGTGTTATGCCCCGTTAACAGTGTCTGGATACTCCCCACTGCACCCCAGCTGTGGCCCACCACATCCTGAAGGGAGAAGAGCTCTTCATTCAACGCGAGGAGGTTCACCCTTTGGGAGACCGTCCTGTAGAGCGCTGCCAGTCAGCAACTAGAAATTCCCTTTGGCTCCCGCAGCACATTGGAAACAAGGATGTGTTCATTGCTCTGAGCCTCTGCTGGATTCGACCTCTCCAGGTTTACAAGGCACGCGGTGATTGCGCGAGGCAGAATCAGCCAGAGGCTGGAGACTCCGTGGTCAGGGTTTCGGAATGCCTTAATCCAACACGGAGACAGAGCAGAACAGCCATGTAACCAAGGAGAAAGCTGACTCACACCTGCACCGTAAGCCCTCAGGACTATGGACTCCCAGGAGAAGCACATTTTGCTTTTGAGAGGTGAATTTTGGGGAATGGAGCTGCACCTTCCTTGCTAAGGACCGTTCCATCCAGCAATTCCAAGGCAGCTGGGAGCTAACGGGGGTCCACGGCTTTGGTGGAGAGCTCTGCCCTCACAGCAGTGATTAAACCAAGGCAGAACATCTCAGGAGTCACCTTTGGTCCAGCGCCGCGCCGGGTTTTACAGAGCATCCCTCAGCCATGCTGGTGGCAGACCCCGCCGACTCCAAGAGTCCACTTCAACACTTCCAAATCCCGTGCAACACCCGTTAACTGAAATGCATCCAAACAAGGTCCCCCCGGGTGTCGCTCACCACACGCAGCCCTTCCAACAGCGCTTTTGTTTTTCCTTGGAGCTGCTACAAATAGGTCCGGTTTCTATAGCAAAGCATCATTTTCCACTCCCTCCCCGAGCACCCTGAGTCTGTGACCACAGCGCCAAATCCACATCCCAGATCTTTACAACATGAAACACTCATCTTCCTGTAGGTGACTACAGCTTTAAAATCACAGTTTACAGCGTCGTTAAAGAGAGCTATCGCAAAATTAAATCTGGTCTGTGAAATTAATAGAGGTGGACTGCTAAAAAGCAATTTTCTCTAGGGATTGAACATGTTCCTCCTCTGGTGTCCTGGTGATTATTTCCGTAGGCATCTACGTCTGCCTTCCAGCACGCAAATGCCTCCAAAGACAAGGCAGAAATTGGGAAAAGCCTCAGAACTTCTTGCAGAATCAGTACTCGCCTCCCACGGTGAAAACGAGTTAATTCCAGGGCTGTGAAGAGCCTGGGCGAGCTCCCTGCCCTGGTGGCAGTATCTGCATTCCCCGAGCAGCAGCGGCTGCAGGCGCCGTGCCACGTGGACACGACAAAATCAGGAATGGCCCAAGTAAAGTCATCGCCCTGCTACAATAAACACTGCTCAGAACTCAGGGTTCCAGCCAGGCGCCTTCCGACGCCTGCACGAGACCCAGAACTTCCGCAGTTCTGAATCCCCGGCTGCCTGGAAACCAAAATCTCCTGTGGACGAGCTCTCCGCAGTCACCGACGGGCGCGGGCGGGCCTTACCTTCTGCGCCTGAGAGGGTTCGGTTAAGACCAGAGTGAAAAGGCCCAGGCAGATCTCCTCATGCTGGGGGGTTCCTTTACATATCTGAGAGAGAAAAACGTGAGGGCCGTGGGTGAGCGGGTGAGACGGGACGTTAGAGGAAGGTCAGTAAGGAGACAGAAGAAGGAAAGCCCCCTCAAGCCCACCAAATGGGTGGCCAATGGAGCAGCCTGCAGCCCAGGAGGAATTCAAAGCAGGATCCCAATGGAATACAGGAAACACACAGCGTCTTCCTAACACCTGTACCCTGATGTAAAGCTAATGCTGGTGCAAACCTCAGGGTAGTGTGGGTTTTCCGGTGGTTTCAGTTGGACCACGTCAGGATCTCTCATTACTGGGGGGGGCAACAAGCTCCCAGACAAGAGCAGCAGCAGATCCCAAGCCCTGTCCTTTGTCTGGGACCTACCCAGGCTTTTCCAGACTTTCCCACAACCTGCTCATCCAAGCAGGAGCATTTCATGAGCTTCTGGGACCTGAAACCGAGCCTGGGCTGACGACCTTTTCCCATTAAGGGAAGGCAACTTTGTACCACTGACTCCAGTGGCTCAAGGTGTTCTGGGGAGGAAAAAACCACAACCACCATGTCCGAGAGCCCATTAACATGTCACACAACAGTTTTCCTTATACGGTCGTGTCTGCGGCTCGCTGGCAAGTATTTTAAGACTATGCAGAGTTAGAAATAAATGCTCCATCCCTCAACAGAAAGGCTGAACCTGCCCTTTCCAGCGGTCTGGAGTTTGGAAGCCAGGAAAAAGCTGATCTGAGCAGCACAGGAGTACAAAAACACACAAGAAACACAAACACCAGCAGCACAGGCGTAGCGACAGGCCCCTGCGTGCGTGCATGCGTAGAGAGCTCGTACGCCGGCAGAGACACGCTCAGATTTCAGTGAGAAACGGCACCGCAGGTCGGCTTCCAAATAGGTGACTAGACAAGGATTAAAGCCACGACGTTTTGTCATGTAACTAATAGCTCTGGGAATCGCTGACAGGCTGAGAGCCACGAGGGTGCAGCAGGCTCCATGCTCTACATATCTGCCGTTCTCTGTGCCCTCAGCCAGAGCTCCGTGCAGGCACACTACACCATGAATTATTTTATCCAGGCGGGATTTCTCGTCTCTCGAGGAGGTGACACTTACGTGAGCATTGAGGGCATCGTTAGCTTCCCTCTCCGACAGCCCGTTGGTTAGCGAAGTCACGATGCCCACACACCGCTCTAATCTCTGGAACAGAAGAAAGGCAAACATCACAAATTTAGAAAAACGAGTACACTTAAGCACATCCTCGCCAAGGTAAGACAGAGCAGAGGCTGCTTCGACCCCCACCCAAACACCTGAACGGACAGGAAAACAGCCAGCGACGCAACAGCTGTTCTCGGCTGCCATCAAGGTTCCAAACCTCCTGCCAGCTGGAGAAGCGACTGCTTCGTCAACATTAATTTATTCACAGGTTTGGGTTTTAAATACTCCGCTGACACCGCTGACAGAGCCAACACGCAAACGCGAGATTATTCAGCGACAGTAACACTGATGCCACTTTGCTACGAGGCCAAGGCGCAGTTGTGCGAAGGCTGGATTGGAGGCAGGGTTGTCAATCCTCGCTCGGACAGTGGAGCTGCGCCCCGAGGTGACGAGCTGCCCCCAGCTCAGGGAAGCCAGAGCCCGCCCGGCAGCAGCTCTGCAGTGCAAGACCCACCGCTCCCATCCCGGTGGGAACCCTGGGAGCAGCCTGGAAACCTACTGGTCTCTCACTTGAACAGCTGAGCAACTTCTGGATGAGAGCAAAGAGCAGTGGCACATGTTTGCATGGCAGCACCTCGAGGGATGCAGCAACGGGAAGAGCCATGAAGCCAGGCCCAGTAAGTTACAAGAGTGCAGGCATGAAAATACTGGAGAAGCAAATCACGGACTCACAGACTGGTTTGGCTTGGAAGGGACCTTGAAGCCCCTCCAGTGCCACCCCCTGCCACGGGCAGGGACCCCTTCCATAGCCCGGGTTGCTCCAAGCCTCATCCAGCCTGGCCTTGGACACTCCCCGGGATGGGGCATCCACAGCTTCTCTGGGCAACCTGTCCCAGTGCTCCCCACCCTCTGCGGGAAGAATTCCTTCCTGATGGCCCATCTCCATCTCCCTCTTTCCATTCAAACCTGTCACCCCTTGTCCTGTCACTCCCTGCCCTTGGGAAAAGCCCCCCCAGCTCTCTTGTAGCCCCCCAGGCACTGGAAGGGGCTCTGAGGTCTCCCCGGAGCTTCCCTTCTCCAGGCTGAACCCCCCAACTCTCCCAGCCTGTCCCCATGGCAGAGGGGCTCCAGCCCTCGGAGCATCTCCGGGGCCTCCTCTGGACTCGCTCCAACAGCTCCGTGTCCTTCTGCTGTTGGGGGCCCCAGAGCTGGAGGCAGAACTGCAGGGGGGGGTCTCCCCAGAGCAGAGGGGGAGAATCCCCTCCCTTGCCCCCCTGGCCACGCTGCTCTGGATCCAGCCCACGATACGGTTGGCTGTCAGCACAAATGGCAGAGGCTTCCCCTCAGCTTGAGAGAAATCAGAGTTGTCTCCTCTTCACACAGAGCGTGAGCAGCCCCACGCAGAAATGGTTTCTCCTGTCCATCGAGCTGGGCACCGGTGTCAGCCGATGCCTGCCTCTAGGAAAGCGTGAGCACAGTGGTGACTCTAGGCATGCCACATCCTCTCCCCACCTCGCTGGGCCATCTCAGGGATGGTGACAGCAGGGCCACGTGGACTCGCAGGCTCACCACGGGCTCTCGCAGCAGCGATGACACCCGAGAGCCAGCAAACAGGCAGAGAGCAGGGTTCCGGCTGCCAGCACCGCACTGGCTCGACCGCAGGGCTCCTTTAACGCTGGGGTCGCGCTCTCACACTACCACTTTCACAGCGAGACACTGTTCTAAGCTGAACTCCTCCATAAACAGGAGGGAGATGTGCCCTGCCTTCTTTGCCGATGCCACCGCTTCCACGGACCCGGCTGGACGGTTTCAGCCACGGCAGCGACTCGAGGGGCCCCAGCTACCGTCAAAATGAAGTCTTGCTTTCCTGGAGTCTCCTTGGAGCCAAGAGTTAATGGATCAGTGACCTGTTTGCACCAGGGGAAAGCAGCAAATACAGCCTAAGAGAGGCAATAAGCAGGTTACAAGAAGGTTATTCCGACACAGTCACTTCTTGATTAAAATGCAAAGGCGGCAGTCGCCTATGGAACTGATCAGCGACGCCTCTGCATATCAAAGGGGCTGCAGCGAAGAAGCTATTGAAAAAGGGGTCAACAGTTCTCCACTCCAAGGCAATATGAAAGAAGATGTACTGGTCAGTAAGGCAGGCATAATGTCTTTGTGAAACCAGCTTTGTTCCAGGCCCAGCGATGGCATTATGAAAGAGCAATGGGGCAAAATCCATGAAAATCTCTGATCTAAAGCAGACGAATTATTTGAAAGGGAGGACAAGATCCAGCGGCTGAAAAACAGAGTCAGAAAAATCCCAGCGAGAAATAAGACAACTTGTCGGTGGATAATGCAGCCAATGAACCACCAGAAGAGCTTTGCAGGGAAGTTCAGTGCCAAATAATGTCTTTGATGTGAGCCCTGCTGAGGGACTTGCAGGATCAGGGTTTGGTATTCCCTTGGGATAAACAGGAGACGCATCAACTCACTCCTGCCAGGTATGGAGGCGATTTGAAAACAGTATTTCTACCTCTGAGCAAGTTTAAGGGACCACGTTCCTGCAACAAACTGCTGCCTTTACCAAAACCCGCAGCGGAACGAGACGATGTTTTCTAGTGTAAACACCTGGTATGAGATATATTTTTATGAGCTCCGGCCCTTCCGATCACCTCTTTCTCCCCAAAACAGGTGTGTACAACACACTGCCACCAGCAGCTCCAACGACTGCTAAAGAAAAACCCTGGAGGAGGGTTTTCCCTAAACGTGGCAGCCTCTTGACTGCGAAAACTCGATGCACAACCACCCCACACGGGTTTTCCTGCGCACGCTCTGCTGCCTGTTTGTTGAAGCCTTTAACGCAAGGAACACGAAACCTGGGACAGTAAATCCATCAGCGCCCAGAAGTGTCATTAATACCTGAACCAGTTTCTCCCAGCTGACCGGGCTTTTAGTCGAAAGCGCTGCTTTCTGGTGCTTTAAGAGGGCTGGGAGGAAGGCTGGCTGGTTAAGCAAGGCTTGTCTCTGGAAAGTCTTCTCCTTCTGGCACCTGCATACGCCCGGATATGTCACCATCACCAAACCCAAGGTCCACCACGCTCGCCGACTCGTGGTCCCAGACCCAACGCTCTCGGGGAAAGATCTGGGTGAGAGTGACCTGGGCTCCAGTGACCCATTTTGTCAGCCAGGAGACAATTTTCAAGCCCAACCAAGGCTTGTGGCCATGCTGGGCTCGCAGAGTGGCACGGGTCCGAAGCTGGGAACGTTCTGTCCAGACCTGGACAGGACCCAAAACACACACGGGGACCAAGGAGTGCTTTGAAGGAATATAAATACACTCAAAGGACAGTTTCCAGACCTTGAGACCTTGTTATTCCAGTTACCACCCTGTTTTTCTCCTGTAACTGAAACCCAGTACAATTTTTGTTTGTCTGCATCATTTCACAATCCCCAAATACATTTGTTTCCATCACACAATAAATAACCCGTCTCTCCCACAAGTCTAGTGGTTCACGAGAGCATTGCCGCCCCCGTCGTGCCAGGGAAGCTGGCCCCGCACCCGCCTTAGGATGATCCCTGAGCACCCCCTGAGCTGTAAATCTGGGCCTGAGCAACACATCCACCTTGCTCGGGTCCCTGTGCTACCGGCTCTCCCACACCAGGAACGGGTCCCAGTTGTCCAGGGGAGACCCCAAACCACCTCCAAAAGCACCAGATCTCTTCTCCCAGTGCAGGAAGAAAAGCTCAATGGGCAACAGGACAGCACTGTGTAATTTGGGGGCTGGGGAACACGAAGTTGCCCAGGCACTGGGGAGATGAGTTTTGTCAGTGCTCAGGCAGGAGGCAAACTTCATCATAGAATCATGGAATGGT